AGGGCTCAAGTAGAAGGCAAATGCTTTGAGAATGATGATGGCAAAAAATGTACAAATGTGCTTGACAGAATGGATATATGTATGGATTGTGATAAGAATTGTACGAGCCCCCAATAAAATGATTTAAAAACAAAACAAAACACCATACAACTTAGAAGGCACTAACAGAAACTCGAGGAGCCTCCTTTATATCGGCTTGTCACTTAGGGCCCCCTTTGCCCCAGTTCATCAAAGTCAAGCCAAGCAGAGAAATGAATTCTTCAAAGCAGAACCACAGTGCTGTGGAACACCTTCCCCCAAACACAGTACAATATGATATGAGGGGAAAAAGAAAGGAAATATAAACCAGGGAAGAAAGCAAAATATTACACGGGAATTTACCTTTGCTCTGTAACAAAAACTCATTCAGTTCCACATGAATTAGAAGTACAGCATATCATATAACTGCATATATGTACATATGTGTGTTTAATCTGATGAATGTGTGTATGTAGATATACATATGCACATACATATATCCCCAAGAACAACAAACTCACTGCCATTGAGTCAGTGCTGACTCATCGTGACCCCCGTGGGTTGCCGAGACTGTGATTGTTCACGGAGTAGAAAGCCCAGTCTTTCTCCCTCAGAGCTGCGCGTGGTTTCGAACTTCGGACCATGTAGATTGCAGCCCCATGTGCAACCACTACACCACCAGGGCTCTCTCTCAATACATAAACAATTGATTGGTAAAAAGACTTTCTAGTGGGGTCTTTAAAATACCCAGGGTTTCCTTTCCTTAAGTTTCTAGATCACCCCCTCCCTGATTATAGACTTCTCACTTAACCAATTAGTTTTGAGTTCACATAACCAATCACGTAAAACGTCTTGGCTATTAGCCCACTATGAAACCTCTTCTCCCCTTTTAAAGAGAGAAATTAGGTGGAAGGCTCTCTCTTAGCAGTGTGGCCACCCAATAAACATTTTGTTGAAAGGACTCTGTCTTTTGCTTGAATTCAAAGCAGGCACAGGCCCTGCTGAGACCAGAGAAGGAGCCACAACACGGGCCTGTGGAACCAGGCCCAGGGGGGAGAAGGACCAGGGGGTACCTTCCAGAGGCTGAGAGATGGGCTGTGGTGGAAGAGGGCAGGGTGGAGGCTGCTGATGGGTGAATAATGATGTCAGTCTGAATCTCTACCAGTTATTGGGTCAGGGGTCTCAGGCAATGTGCTTAAACGTATAATGTACTGACCCTATAGACTTAGCATAAATATGACCCTATAGATTTAGCGTAAATAAAAACCAGAGTCACTGTCGTCCAGCTAATTCTGACTCATGGGGACCCTATATGGTAGAACTGCCCCCCGTGGGTTTCCAAGACTAGAACTACTTATGGGAGTAGAAAGCCTCATTTTTCTTCTTGGCAAAGGCTGACGGTTTCAAACTGCCAAGCTTACAGTTAACAGCTCAATGAGTAACCTCTAGGCCACCAGTGCTTCTCTTAGGGGTTAAATAGATGTGATGTATAAAGGCTATATATAGTCAGGGGGTGAGCACCTGGCGCTGGTTCTGTGCTCACTATTATAATTCATGATTGCGAGCTTCCACAGTGGTCCCCTTGATGCCCGTCTCCTGGCGCAGCCCCCTTCTGTACTGACAGCTGTCCTATGTCATGGGGAAAGTGCTGCAGAAGTGATGGCATGTGACTTTTAGGGCTAGCTGTAAGAGACATGGCCACTCCTCTCTGCTCTCCCTTGGGTCATTCACTGGGGGGAACTGGCTGCCCTGCTGCCAGGACACTAGGCCCTTGCATTGTCAATCCCTGGGATTCCAGGAGTCTTTGTTATAAAGGAGCCCAGTGCTTCTCAAACTTGAATGTAAACACAGACCCCCTGGGGATCTTGCGATAGTGCAGGTGCTGGTGAGAAGCTAAATGCTAACAGTTAGCAGGGACCAGAGGCCTCCAGCCAATAGCGGAGTGCCTAAGCTATCCTCAAAAAGAACCTTCCAGTCCGCAGCAAGGCTTAGGAAGACTAAAATCCAGCCACATCTTAACTGTTCCAAACCAGAAATGGCTTCCAAATTCCTGGCCTAGAGAAACTGGCTGAGACGATAAATATTATTTTAAGGTACTACATTTGGGGACCATCCATTACAAATCAATAGATAATTAGCTCAGCAGTATTGGGTAATGACACAATTTTTTTTTCTTGGAAGAACAGGGGGCCCAGCTTTATTGGTAGGCATTAATCAAGGTGGATTACGAGTTGGGCTGCAAACCTCAAGGTCAGCAGTTCGAAACCCTTTTCTCCTCTGGAGAAAGACAAAGCTTTTGACTCCCTTAAAGTGAGCGTTACAGTCTCCGACCCCCGGGGGCAGTTCTACCCTGTCCTGTGGGGTCGGGGTCCGATGGCAGGGTCTGAGAGGCCCTAGCTCTCGCTTCGTCAAGGACGTGTTAAAGGAAGGGACATCATGGCTCAGAAGTTCACTTCTCAGAATGAGCTTTGTCTTGGGATGCAGGCAAGTTGCTTGGAACCCGTTGGATCCTGTGGAAGCTCTTCTTCCAGCACAGCCTTCCCTGGCGCCCCAGCTGGCTCCGACTCATGGCGCCCCGCTGTGCGTGGGGGTAGAAATAGATCCCCGGGCCTTTTCTTCTGGGTGGACACGGCCCGGTCGCTCGGTTTCAGCCCAGTGTATTGGTGGCATCGCTGCTGCCTTTCGTCTAGAGCGGCCGTTGGCGAGCTTCGGCTGGCAGCCAGCCGCACGCGGCTCTTTCCGCGCATGCCTGTGCTCTGCAGTCAAATGGAAAAGGGAGAGAAAACCACCAGGTTCCGTAAGGGATATGTGTCCTTTGTCAAAACATATTTATGGCCCTGGAATAATTTTAAACTGCTGTCAGCGACAGGGTGGGCTCTTGCGTGTCAGGAGTTTGCCATCCCCTGCTCTAGAGCTGGCTGGGCCTCATGGCTGAGGGGTCCGTCTGAGTACTGGGCCAGCCGCCCAGGCCTGAGGCCCTGCTCCCTCCTGGGTGCTGAGAAAGTGATGTCTGCTCGGTCCGGTGTGAGCTTCAAGGTGGTTCCCTCTGCTCCTCCGGGTGGTTCTTGTCCCACCCACACACGTATGCGGCTCGGGACTCGGCTGAAGACTTTCGGGGGATCCTGTGCGGGTCTGGGGAGCTCGCCCTCCCTCTGCGTTTGCTCTCCTCTCAGGCACGCTGCCTGGCAACCCTGAACTGGGCTGGGGCTCCTGCTCCTCCACCAGGCGAGGCAGTGGGGCTCTGCTGGGCTTCCCTCTTGAGCCTGTGGCCCAGGGGGCTCCCTGCTGGGGTTATGATCAGACTCCTCTGGCTTACCTGCCCCTGTGTGGGGGTCCTTCTCATGCATTTGCTGGCCAGTGTATGAAAGCCCCCAGTTCGGCTGTTTCTTCTGTGTTGTTGTCTGCCTGTCCAGTCCCTGCTCCTCCATCTGCTCGGTACACTTTCCCAGCTTCTGTCGTGACAGCGGCCAGAGTTCCCATGGCCTCTGCTGGCCTGGGTCCCCAAGGAGCTAGACAGAGCAAAGCTTCCCTTGGCCCCCGATGGACCGAGGGTGGCAGCAGCAGATGCACCTGTGCTGTTGTGAGCCGGTGCGATTCGGGGGCTATCTGTTATAGCAGCACCACACAGCCCAGTGCTTCTCAAACTTGAATCAGCACACAGGTCCCTGGGGATCATGACAGAGCAAGTACAGATGCTGACCTGGGGGGTCTGCGGGGGCAGCCAGACACTGTTTCTCACAAGGACCCAGGCGGTGTGGATGCTGTGGCCTGAGGGGCAGGGGGTAAACTTTGAGTGGTGAGCTCACAGCCTATCCCAAGTGACCCCCAGGTCTATCAGTCTCCCTCATGAGAGAAGGTTACGTTTAAGAAGGCCCGAGGCACAAATGGGACTTGACAGGCCGACGAAGGGATGCCCTGGGGCCCCTAGGAGATGCTCAACAAATATTCTAGACCCTTACAAGTTAGGGTCAGTTGTAGAGAGAGGCAAAGGAAAAGCCAGTGGGCTGACCACCTGAGTACAGCACGGCAGAGACCACTGGAGGCTCACACTGTAGCTCACGGTACCGTTTGCTCTTACGGCTGCAGACATATGTCCTGCTACAGACTTGGGCACTTTACACAATGTCCCCAAATATCCCAGCAGACTCATCCCCTCCTGGCGGTCACCTCCCTCTTGTCCTTCTCTCTCTGCTGGGGCCCTTGCTCCTTAGATCTCCAGATGGGTCATGTGCAGCCATCTGGAGGGCCAACCCCACCCTCACCGTGCCTGGGCTCGCTCTCCCTCTCTGAGCATCTGCTGCCCCACACCCTGATCCTGCCACTCCAGACACGTGCTCCCTGATCCTTGCCCCAGGTGTTAGCACAGGTGCTCCCCTGCCTCCAACCTCAACTGGAGGGCCCCCGACTGGCTGCTCCCAGTTCCTCAGAGGCCCCGCCCTAGCCGGTCCACGAAACTCGTGTCCTCTTCCTTCATACCCTCAAGCACGTCACCGCCACTTGGCCCAGCTGGATTCTCCTCCAAACAGCTCTCATTCACTGAATCCACTCGCTGGATTCATTTATCGGCCGACATGGTTTTCTCCTACCCTCTCCCCGAAGGAAGCCCCACAACACAAGGATCTTGACTGATTTGCTGGGGGCTCTGTTCCTAGAGATGAATAGTGGCTGGTACTTGTAACCAACCAACAACCAACCAACCAAACAAACAAACAAACAAGATCAAAAGCCAAATTCACCACTGCCGCCGAGTCTGTGCCGACTCATGGCAACCCTCCAGGACAGGGTGGCACTGTCCCTGTGGGATTCCAGGACTGCCACTCTTTGCGGGAGTAGACAGCCCCCTGACCCCCTCACAGAGTGACTGGCGGTTTCGAACTGCTAACAGCGTGGCTAGCAGCCCAATGCGTCAACCACTACGCCATCGGTAGCAGATGCTCAGCAATCGTGTTGCGGGAACAAATGAACTCAGGTTCTTAAGACGCAGCTGTGCCAGATGTGAGGGCCACCTGGCTGCGACTTGTGTCACTCCGTTGATAACCACGGTCCATTCGGCTGGTCTGGCTGGCTGGGCTAGGCCGGTGTCCCCTTCCTCCCTCACCGCTCCATGTGCGTCCCTCCTGAAGCTGGGTGCTCGGTTGAAGAAGAGGACAACGTTCCCCAATAGGAGGAGGACCGTCCTTCGGTCAAGGGCAGAGGAGTAGCTGTGATCCCCGGCCAGAACCTCCAAGCAAGTCTCAGGAGACAGCGTGCTGGCAAGGCTGGACCGGGAGGTGGCCGGCCCTCTCCGCCCCTTAGCACCGCGTTGGCTCGGCCGGTCAGTGAGAGGAGTGTTCTCACTCAGGCCTAAGGAACTAGGATGAGACGGGTGAGACAATCGGTGCCCCAAAGCAGTGACCCCAACTTGTTCACAACAGTTTACGTTCACGCCTGACTGGCTTATGGAACGGTCCCTCCCACCCACAGCGAGTCCCGTGTCCGACCTGGTGGAGCCGGTTGGCAGATAAGACCAAGCTAAGAGATAGCATTAGTTCTGATATCTACTGTGGGCTGGCCTTGGGCCACACCTGTGCTAGCACCTGGATTCCAAACAAGCCTTTCTTGAGGGAGAACTCTGATTTCCCCCACAGGGACTCCCTGGAGGGCTGCTGAGAAGCACTCTGAGGCTGCCACCCAGATCAGTGAAAAAGAAAAAGGAAGGTGCAGTGATCAATTGTTGATGTCTGCCATGGCTGCAAACTGTGGGTAGTGGTGGCCTCGGACCCACCTCTGGAAAGTGCTCACCTGAGGTGATGGCATTGTCCCTCCGTAAGTTCTCGCCCTCGCTCTTCAGGGATGTGATTTCTGAGTTCCGCTCAGACAGGGTCTGGCATAGCACCTGGCTGTAGCCCTTCTGTAGGGCGTTGATCTGTGGGAGGAGGCAACACACAGTCAGAGGGGGCCAGTCAGGCCTGCAAGGCACTGGGGACTGCTTCACAGTTGGCACAGAAGGTCTCTGAGGGCTGATCTTTGAACTGGGGGGAGAGGACAATCCACTTAGCTAGTGGAAAAGCAAGCACCGGTTCCTTCAGTGACTACCACTAGATAAGCAATCCAAGCACACACTTTATCTTTGTGCCCACAGAGGCACTCAGGCCCGGCTGCCATTGGGCACGCCTGACTCCCTAATGCACATGGCAGCCGCCTTGCAGCCCCCGGTCCAACAACATTGATCTGAGACAAAGCAAAGTTCAAGAGAGGGGAACCGGTGATAAGATGCATGTGGCTGTTGCCCCAAAGGCTAGAGGCTCAAGCCCACATAGCGGTGCTCCAGAAGAAAGTCCTGGCAGCCTACTGTTGAAAAAACAAACATGGGAAACCGTAGGACCACTCAAATCCCCACAGGGTCACCATGAGTCTCAGGGGCAACTTTAAAAGAACTGGGTCAGGACAATAACAGGAGCTTCTATCACATAGAAGGGGCCTTGACGGCACAATGGTTAAAGGCTTAGCTGCTCACTGAAAGGGTGGCGATTTCTACACACCCCGCAGCTCTGTGGAAGAAAGACCTGTTGATCTGCTTCTATAAAGGTTACACCCTGTCTGAAAACAAGCAGCCAGTTAAGTGAGGTGTCAGCTAAGTCCTCCCAGAAGACTCCCAGCCCTGTGTGATCCGGGGAATGTAAAAAATACAATCCCAGTCCAGAGGAGGGAACTGTATCAGAGCTTAAGTTCTGAGCACCTGCTTTGCAGAAGGCTATGGATGAAAGGCTTTGCAGAAGGCTGTGGGAGCCCCAAATCCACTTGGTTAGTGCCCTGTGATCATTGACCAGGGATGACAATAGTCTTGCTCTCAGACAGAAAGTGGATGAATGCAGATGTAGTTAGGTTCAAATTTAACACCGTATCATTTGTTTTCCCTTTTCACACCCATGGAACATTTATTGTAGCGTTCATTATTTCCTACTTTCCAGTTGAGGTTTGTCTCGGTTATTGTTGGTGTTGCTTGGAATGGTTAGTTAGTTAGTTTGTTTATCCCTCTGTCTCTGACATCCAGGATAGGAAAATCCATAGACAGTACCTGGATGGAGAGCTTCCTACTGTCATGGCAGAGGATGTCAGTGGGAAGTGGGAGTGATCAGAAGGGCTAGAAGAAGGGAGACATGTTCTAAAATTGTGGGGATGGCTGCACAATTCTCTTGTAATACGTTTAAACAACCGAATTGTGTGATGCATGAATTATATCAATAAAACTGTTAAAAAGAGTTGAATATATTAAATGACCCTCCCCCCCAAAAAATTCAACCCTAGGCGGGCCTGTGAGACAGCTCTCCTCTGTCACACGGGGTTGCAATGCATCTAAATCAATGGGCCCAGTGACATCCGACAACAACACAGCTCACAGGACACCCTAGAGCAGCGGTTCTCAACCTTCCTCGTGCCGCGACCCCTTCATACCGTTCCTCATGTTGTAGTGACCCCGCCCCCCCAGCCATAAAAATATTTTCGTTGCTACTTCATCACTGTCATTTTGCTACTGTGATGAATCGGGCGACCCCTGTGAAAGGGTCGTTTGACCTCCAAAGGGGTCGCAACCCACAGGTTGAGAACATGCTACTTCTTCCAGAGATCTTCCCAGCATCCCATGGGACACATGGATTTGCAGGTGAGGGAAGCAAGTCTCAGAGAGGCCAGGCCACTTACTCAGACTCCGTTAGTCCACCCAGTCTCCAGCTGCCTGGTTCCCTTTCCTCCCACCTGAGCACATGGCTTTGGGCAGTGACATGGAAGCTGGAGGCTGGGAAGCCTGGCACAGACACGGCCGCCAGACCACTACCACCCCCCCTCTGTCTCTTTCTCTGATGGGCTGAGAGGGCGTGGGGAGAGGGGTGCCGCCTTCTGCCTCATTCTCTGACTGCTGGAAGGCGTTGGCTGTATTGAGTCAGCCCCTCATGCTTGGAGACCCCAGGCACAGTGGAAGAGAATGCTGCCTGGCTCTGTACCATTCTTACGATCGGTTGTTAATTGGACGGCTGTGATAGATCGGGTTCTCGCTGACGACCTTTAAGAGGTAGGTCGCCAGGCCTTTCTCCCTAGTCTCTTTTGGTCTGGAAGTTCCACTCACACCTGTTCAGTCAGTCAATAGCGACATGCAAGCCTCCACTGGCGGACTTGTGGTGGCTGCGCAGGTGTGTGGGCCAGGAATTGAAGTGGGAATCCTCCCGTCACACTGTGCCACTGAGTGAGGCCTGACTCACAGCCAGTCCCTGTCAGAGGGTCCCGGGCTGTGTCCTCAGCCGGGTCAGATCTCCTCCGTGCAGCCGCTGGGTGGGTTGGAAGCCCCAACTTTTTAGTTAACAGCCGAGTGTGGAACCGTTGTGCTGCCCACATAAACAACAGCAACAGCAAAGAAACCCCCAAACTCACTGCCTTTGAGGTGACCCCGACTCCCACCCCACAGGACAGAGTCGAGGGGCCCCGCAGGCCTTTCCTAAGCTGTCATCTTTACTGAAGCAGATCGCCCGCCTCAAGGGGTAGCTGGTGGGCTCAAACCTCCAACCTGATGGTGAGCAGCCGAGCTCTTTAAGCACTGTGCTACCAGGCCTCCTCTTTTGCTGCCTGCTGTGGGTCGCTGACTTCAAGGCCAGCAAGTCAAAATCACTAGCTCCACGGTAGAAAGACCAGGTTTTCTATTGCTGCAAAGAGGGACAGTTTCAGAAACCCACGGGCGCAGTTCTCCGCTGCCCTGGAGACTCCCCGTGGTCAGAATGGACTGGGTGGCAGGCAGCTTGATGAGCTTCAGGCAAGTACAAAAACTGATGGCAGGGAGCGAGGATGCGGCCAAGGACCCGCTGGGATTTGCCACTAGATGGCACTCCTGTCTTTGTCGCTGGTTCGGCCTCCACAAACCTGGTGGTTCTTGGATTAACAGAGACATCCAAGTTTGAGAAGTGTGCCGCTGATTTCATGCATCGTGGTCATTCGGCCTTATGACACTTGGCCCGGATACACCTACTTTTCTCTCGGGGAATCTGGAGACACTGGGGATGTTGGGGGACAGGTGCTATGGTAGACCAGGATGGGATTTGTGTCTCTCTACTTCCTCACCTTACACACACACACACACACACACACACACACACACACACACACACACGCTTCTATCCTTTGGAAATCTGAATGAAAAAGAATCTCTCACTTCCTACTGTTCTCTGTGTGGGAAATGCAACTTCCCATATAAGGATCTTTAAAGAATGCTTTAAGCTGTTCTCAGCTCAGTGCACGATTTCAGAGGCCCAACCAGGAGTGGAAACATGCATCTCCTGCTGCGCCCCCGTGCCTACCCCCTGGAGGGGCTCCCCTGCTTTCTGACAGCAGAGAGAATACATTTCAATCCAAGCCTGGGGCTTCAGCATCACAGATTGTGGGGAAACCTCACGTGGTCCTCCACCCTCTTCACTGCTGTCAGGACCAGAATAAATAAATGCTAGTGTCCACAACCAGCCTCAGGCCCACGGTGCTGACGGCCGCAGACGGTGCGCTCCGCCTCGGAAGACAGCTAATAGCGCTCGGAGGAGTAATGGCTTCAATAAATAATTTGGCTGCTAGCAATAATAAAATCATAATAATCATCTTCATGGTCATTGTTGGGCTGCAAGGTAATAATGACTTAGGGAGGTGGTACCGTGCACCTGGAGGCAGGGTCTTTCCATGGTTTTGTAGCAGATCGAAGGGCGTTGAGAGCAAATCTTTACACACACACTTTCCCGGGGACGGGGAGGAGCGTGTCAAGTCCTCAGAGCGATCGTTCAATCGGCCTCCTTCTGGGTGTGTGCTCTGCCGCCAAGTGAACACGTAAGGGCCAACACTGTGAGCAGACGGAACCTGATCTGGTCCAAACCCAGGGCGGCCAGGTTCAGTGGCACCTTGCAGTTATGCGTGAAGACCCAGGGGGAAGACCCAGGGGGAGCTAACCGCGTGATGCACCAGAGCCTTGCCGCCTAAGGAATGCCCTTGGAAGGAACCCAGGGCCGCTCCTCAGAAGAAGCGTTCCCGTAAAGATGGCAGTCTCAGGCACCCAATGGGACAGCTCTACTCCGACACAAAGGGTCACTGGGCGTCAGAACCGATGCACTTGATGGCACCCAGTGACAATTCTCTCAGATAAAAAACAACGTGACAGAGACGAATAGCTACTTTGAACAATGCTCAAATCGTGAGGCTCAGACACAGACCCCCGGGAATGGAGGTGGTTCTGTACCCTCAACCCCAGAGCCGGACGAGGTGCTTTTGCTCAGCAAGGCTCTGGAACAGGAGCTCCTGCAGCTGCGTGAGAGGGATCAGCCCTCTCATCACTGCGGGAGTCCCATGCCACGCAGCTGTGGGGGCCGCAGGGCCTGCTACTTCCATTGCTCGTGGAGCAGGTATTCATTTGTTTATTGTTGATTTTCAGTGTCCCTCCGGGGAGTGTGGCTCGGGACCAGCCAGGGTCAAATCCACCTGGCTCCATGCTGAGTCTGCAGGGCCAGAAATGGGAATGGCAGTGGGGAGTGGTGGTGGTGGTGGTGGGGCGGGCACTCATAAAACAGTTGTTTATTTGAATGAATAAATGAGTGAGCCCGTAAAGGAGCAACCGAAGGAGCAGACAAGGTCCTGCTAGAGTTCTGAAAGGCAACTGCACCCAGTCCCTCCTGGAGTTTACAGCCTCAGAATATCCACCACTAGATTCCTTTCCTACGACACCCTGTGGGGGGCTGAGCCCATGGACCTAAAGCCAGAGGCAGGAGGGAGAGGCAGCGAGCAGGAGACCACAGAGAGAGGCCCAAGCATGGCCACGATTTAGCATCACAGTTTAAAAAAAAATCAGTCAATCAATCAAACAAATCCCGAACCCAATGCCTTCAGCTTGTGGCTCCTAGTGACCCTCTAGTACCGAGTAGAACTGTGCCACGGGGTTCCCCAGGCTGCTAATCTCTATGGACGCCGAGTGCCATGTTTCTCCCTCAAGGCAGAACAGCCAGTGGCTTCAAACCACCAACCTTCCCATTAGCCGTCAAATGCTTTATCCACTGTGCTACCAGGGCCCCTAGCATTCCTCAGAGAGGCCAGCATTCCCCAATGGTCAATTTCTTGTTTATCCTTCTTGTTGGCACATCATCTGTGAACATCGTTTATGAACAACATCGATTTTAGAACAGTCCCTTTTTAAAAACAAGGGAATTCGGATCTAGTTTCAAGAGCAAGGACTAAGGTGATGACAAGAAGATCCAGGTGGGGGATTGGCAATGAACGACATCCCGAGTGAGCCAGCCACTCACTGCCCTTGGGATTTGGGGAGTGGCCTCTCTTGGGGACACTGGGACGTTGCTTCTCCCTGCACTGGCTGGTGCTGAGTGGGTGTTGCGGCAGGCACACAGGAGTGATGGACCTGGGAGGAAATAGAAAGTGGGCGTGAGAGTAAGGGGTCTGCCACAAGGCAGAGTTGAGTTCAAACCCAGCCACCGCCTTTAACTTGCTGTGCAAGCTGTAATTAGCGAGTTGCTGCGTGTCCCTGAGCCTGCTGCAGCCTGGTGAGTTTTCAGTGAGGGGGGGGCGGGGGCTGCATTTACAGGGCTTGCACTGGTCGGCGCTTAGAACGCTTAGTATTGCTCTCACCCCACCGCCCGCCTGATGGTGTGTCATCCCGCGGTGGCTTGCGTGCTGCTGAAATGCTGGAAGCTGCACCGTCGGCATTTCAAATACAGCAGGCTCCGGTTCTGGGGGGGCGTCCAGATTAAGGCGGACTAGGAAGCCCGGGAGTCTACGTATGACAAGGAGCCACTGAACACGGCACCATCACAGCAGGACGCTGTACAGCATGCTTGCTTTGGACAGTCGTCGGGAGGCAGCTATCATCACAGGAGGACACCGTGTTTGGGGAAGTCGAGCCATCGAGGGCAGGGAGACCCTCTGTGATGGATCTACCGAGACAACGGCCGTGAGGGTCAAAAAGAAATGGATGGGTGCAGACACGCTGGCGATTGCGAGGAAGGTACAGGCCCAGGCAGTGGTGCCCACCTGGCGGCCACCATTCAGAAGGGTCCTGAGCAGCTAACACCAGCTGTTCTACGGGCCTGGGCCGGGGGCCGGGAGCAGGCGGGCTTGTTTCCTGGCCCAGCAGGCTCGCTGTGGGAGTGCCCAGGCCTGGTGGCTCCGAGGACAGGGGGACCTTGTTTCTGCACCGTACCTGGCCCTTCAAGCTCTCGATCTCTTTCTGGTTGGTGTTGGCGGCCTCATCGGGAGCCAGAAGCTTCTGCGGCCCGGCCCGCGGCTCACTGGGGGCGGCGGCGGTGGGGGCCCAGGCTGTGGAGGACAGCTTCTGAGTCATCTCAGCCACTTCGTTCTGCAGGTTGGCGATCACCGCGTCTTTGTATCGGGATTCAATTTCAAAGTCTGAGAGGCGGCTGACTTCTTTCCCGAGCAGCAGAATGATCTCATCCTAGTGGAGAGGAGAGGGCACGTTGACTGGGTGTGGGGCACCCCAGGGGGGCAGGGAGGGAAGAGGCACACTCCCCAGGTGGTCTGCCACTCGGAGAACCCTCACCGAGACGGGGCTACAACTGTACACGGCTATGGCTCTTGAGGTGGCCTCGAGTGGCCCAAATGGTTAAGCGTTCAGCTACTAACAGAAAGGTCGGCAGTTCGAACCCACCTGGAAGCACCTTGGGAGGCAGTTCTGGTGACCTGCGTCTGAAGCAGTCACAGCCTTGGGAATCCCATGGCGACGTTCCACCCTCGACGTGACTTCCACAGCATCGGGCTCTGCGTTGATTCTGACACACGGTGACACCCACCCCCACCCCCGTGTGTTACAGAGCAAAGGGGCTTCGTGGGTTTTCTGCATGGAAGCAGATCGCCAGGTCTTTCTTCCGTGTGCTGCTGGGTGGCTTCAAACCCCCCACCTTCAGGGAGTGGCCCTGTCGGACAGAGGGGATCTGCTCCACAGGGCTTCAGACGCTGTCTGTCTTGAGGCACACACTGCTGCATTCTCCTCCCACTGGACAGCTGGTGGTTTTGAACTATTGATCTTCCTGGTTAACCGCCCACTGAGACACCGGGGTTCCTTTTAAGGTTTGTTCCCCC